AGATGATGTGAAATTATCTTGTATATGTGCCCTAAGCATTTGTCTAGACACAGCCCCTGTCAGTGTAACAAACCGTTGCAGCGGAGCAATGTCGAAATCAGCTTGAGGAGTGTGTCTCCAGCACAAGGAGGCAGGATAATGATGTTTTTTTCAGAAGAGAAACCTATTAGTGAGGCCATGGGATTAATTTTAAGTGCTGCAAAAGTGCATGTCCCATTAAGAACATCTTTATTCTCATGGTTTCATTCCCTAAGGAAATCAAATGTCTGGGTCTCCTCAGCAGCCTCTGATGTAAGCAAGTATTATTTTTCCCTATTTTTATGTTAAAGGCGGTTTCATCATTTCTGCCCTTCAAATTCTGCAGCCACTAGTCCACTATTCTTAGCTACAGTGGAAATACCTTCTGCCACCCAAACGTCGCATGGGCTGTGATCAGTAACGTCCCACGCCAGAGCGGGGAGAGGAGGCAGCTTTGCAGAAACGCCGGACCCTTGTACCTCCCTGTATCACCTGCTTGGAGCTTGGCCTTGCCAGACATCATTCTGACAACCCCCCAGTGCTTGCCCTCCTGCAGGGAAACACAGCCGTGCACATGGCTTTCCTAAGGTCCTGCAGCAAGTTAATGGTAAAATTTGCCATGGGTAAGTGGTGATGGGTTGAAACACTTTTAGAGTTTAAGGAAGCAAGAGAGGTGATTCCCTTTGACGATAAACCCCTTGGGGCAGGGACCAGTGTGCTGCTGTGTATATATAGTCCCTGTATAGTCCCTATAACCATCAGGTCTAGGTATGCTTGATATTACTGTAAAATAAGTTATTTGTTGTCATTATTATTATCTTTTGATATTTTAGCTGTATCTGTTAAGAATCTCTTATGGCTGAATACCGCAAGGATGTCTCATTAAAAGCAATACCTTTTAGGCGCTAGGGAGAGAGTTCTCTACACCATCTACTCCAGGCGAATTTTGGCATCAATTCAGAAGACCCAGAGTCAGATCACTAAAGCCACAGGGCTCAGCGGCAAGGCTGTGAAGGGCACGGTCCTGCCCGGGGACATCAGCCCTTCCCAGGTCTCGGATCGGCGGTTCTGCATTGCCATCTTCAGGCTGGGAGCAGCCTTGCTCCTCCCAGAAATCCTAGAAATCTCCCAGACACGGCAAACTCAGTTCCGGCTTACCCAGCATTAGTTGAAATCGGTGGCCAAACCCTGGAAAAAGGTGTTAAATACAAAGGAGGGGAAGGAGCTCTGCAAGGCTGGTACTCAGCTGCCCCGGGTAACACGGATATTTTCCTCCCTGTGAGTATACAAGGCTTTAAAGAGAGTAAATTAACACAAGCAATGCTGCTTAACACATACCATTTCTTGCTGTGAGACAAAGTTTATTGGCAAGTTTTCTTTAAAGTACATAAATTGAAACTGCCTGAGTGATTTTAGCTCTGTAGCCTGCACTGTCCCCAAAAAAGCCTTTTTCTAACAATGATAAAAGCTCAGATTCTTGGGAGATTTTAATGATAATATGTCTTTAAAAAAGTTTATGCCAAACACTTCACAGGTATTTGTTAGATATGGTGGCGGGTTTGGAAGAGAGGAGGTTTCTAGCCTTTCAGGGTCTCTGATGGACAATATCACACAGACAGCTTGGAGAGCCAAGGAGCTGTAACCACAGAACACATCCTAAAATAAATCAGAAAATCATAGAATAAGGTAGGTGTCCTGCTCCAGCAGGGCCAGCTTAGATGAGGTTGCTCAGACCTTGTCTCATCACCTTGTGAACATCTCCCTGTGATTCCCCCACCTCTCTGATCTCCAGCCAGTGTTTGACTACCCTCGTGGTGAAAAATATTCTCCTGATAAGATCTGCTTGGAAAATGACTTTCTAGGAGCCCAGAAAATCATAGAAACATAGAATGGTTTGGTTTGGAAGGGACCTTTGAAGGTCATCTAGTGCAACCCCCCTGCAATGAACAGGGACAAATGCTGCTACTCCAAAGAATATTCCAGCAGTAAAGCTCTTACCATTTTATCTCAGGTCTCGTGACAGTTTGTACCAGGTCTCACGACTGTTTATACTTTTTCCCACTGCCTCAATCCCTGAAATCCCACCATTACTCCCAGCTATCAGCGAAAAAATAGGCGATCCTGATACTTACCATGGCCACCTGTAGCACCACTCACTGGGCTGTGTCCATTGCAGTCCCTGTCCCAAAGGACAACCCAGAGCACAGCCTCGCAGCAGGGATTTGTGATGACCAGTTCAGCCTCCGCAAGAAAATGCTGTAGTTGTCCTTGTACTCGGATACCCAGCGGTTCCTGCGGAGAACATGGAAAAGGGGATAAGAAGAGGACCTCCATCCTCTGCTTTCTGCACCAGGAGAAGGGACCTGCCTCCCCTTCCGCAGCGGTTGACCGCCCAGCTGGGAAATAGCATAGAGCAAATGAAAGCACATGCCAATGGCATGGGGGAGAGGGGGAACAGCCTGTCTCCATCAGGACCGGCGCAGATGCTGCGACACACATGGCTGTCATTGGGACCAATCTCCCACCTAGATCAACCATTACACAGGCTCGGTCTCCAGCCCACACATAACTCCAGGATCGTAGATCAAAATCGAGACTTCAGCGCAGAGCTGAAATATATGTGTGTGTGTTAGGGGGAGGTGGGGGGGATGAGGCAGTGGGGAGGAATTGCCTTTCCGGTGAGAAATGAGAGCTCAGGAGCAGTTTATGCCTGTTTGTTCATAGTGTGCGGATGAGTCACGTTGCAAACAGCTCCTGCCCTGTCTGATTTGAGAGAGCCCTTTCCCAGGGGAAGCCCGGGCATGGAAATGTTGAGACGTGCCTCCCTTCCCCAGCCCCACAGGGACCTCGGCATCTTCTTTCCACAAGGACATATCAGAGGTTGTCCCAGGAAAAGTCTCCCCACTCCTATCAACCCCACTGCAAAACTTTTCAAGAAAAGGCTGAGCAGGCCTTGAGAAAGGATTTGGCCCCAAGGGAATTCATTTGAGCTCGTTGCATAACACAGACACGGAGAAATACGCTTGAGAAACACCTTCCAATCCCAACCAGCTCCAAAACCTCCCTGCCCTACTCTTACCCTGTCCCCATTCCCACCAGCCGCCCTCTCCCCCCAGCCCACCTCTCCCTTACTGGTTTAAGTGCTCATCTTCAGGGAAAATGTGAGAAAGGCTCTTATTTGCTCTACAGTATCCACCATGGGCTCCTGGCCAGCACTGGAAATCTGTGTTGTAGGTACTTCTCCAGTCAAGGTCAAAGCACTCTAGTGAAAGAGAGTCCAAATAATTGAAAGACTTTTCTGGGTCTCTATCTCCTGTACCCCCCAGTCTGACTGTTCCCCCTTCTGAGCGCCATCAGCTCTTTAGGCTTTCAGCGCTCCTGTTGGAGGTACCACGGTCGAAGGGTTAGCCAAGGAAAATGCAAGAAGCGCTTCCTTGGTGTAGATAAGGTCTTTTAGACAAGATTATTCAGCCCTGATTTTCTATAGCCTTTTATGTATGATGGAAGTCACACTAGGAAGATCTGGAAATGACATCTTGTGCTCTTCCCTTCTGGACATTGACTTGTCAGCTGGTATATATTTTCTCCTACTGTCTAGATTTTCTCTTTCATCATGCCAGAGCAATGCGTCTCTGCTTTATTTAATCAGGGACTAAACCAGGGAAGAGATCCAGCGTCCACTTAACCCCCAAGTGAGGACCATCACCTCTGTTGTGCTATCTTCCCCCCAAATCCCCGTAAGAACTGGTTTGAAGGGGTGCCATCTCCTATCCTGCTCTCCAGAGATGCCCCATCTGTATGTTAATAGCCTGCGTGTGTGTCCTTCTGACTGAGCAGATCTGCCTGCAGAGAAACGTGCTGCCACGTCTCCCAAGAAAGCAGGAAGGACGCGCAAAGAAGAGCCACTGATTGTAGATATTTCAGATTTTCTGTGTATTTTAAAAATGACACGTTCCTGTAATGAGTCATTAGTAAAGTATTTTTGTTGTTTTCACTGAGGCTGAGGTTACAGGCATTTCACACGTGCGTGACCATGTCAGGCTGTTAATGCAACCCGAGTGGCCGCAGCAGCAGTTCCCGTGCTGCGACATTATTTCCAGGGAGGCCACACTGAGCGGGGCTGCGCTACATGGAGTGGCCCATATGGAAACTGGGATGAAAGAAATGTTATTTACAACGCTCCAACCTCTTTGGAGGACAATTGTTTTTCTCTGCTCTGCTTCTCCCCACTGATGGGCAGATGGTTACGGGGACTCTGCAGACCTTCCCTTCACCTTCCTCAGTCTCTCCCTGCGTTAAATTAAAAAACCCAAAGCCAGGCTGGGCCACAAGTCACCCGCATGGGGCAGCTGCCACAACCTCCATCCACTGACCTTCCACCAAAACAGATGAGCCCAGGATCATGCTCCTGTTTTGCTGAGCATCATGCTGCCTTGCCTGGCACGTCTCCAGGGTGAATTGCTGGTAGGTGGCCCAGCCTGGAGCCAGCTTCTGCCTGTGCAGCAACATCCCTGAGAGATGGGAGAAGAAAAGAGCACATTAGTCAGGAAGCACCATCAATTACTCACCCAAATCCTACCCTTGGATGGGAGCAAGCAAACAACAGCAGCAAGTTGGAGCCTCAGCTGGCAAAAATCAGGGGAGACCCATTGACTTCAGCAGAGCTTTGCTAAGGTGCATCAATTTTGCATCGATTTGGTTCATAAAGCCAGTAGGGGAAAGATTTATGGTGATGCGAAGTAAGTGGAAGGAGCCATGCTGCCTCCGTGTTGCCCTGGAGTGCTAAAAGGAGCTGCGATCCTTTGCGGGAGGTTCGTGTATGAAAGGGAAAGACTTTGCGGGAAGTACTGCGCTGCTGGGCTACACAGGAGTAGATCAGGAAGGGAAAAGCCCACAGTAGTTGTGTCATTAGCACAAGGCAGCTTCAGATGGGCTTGGCAAGGAGATGCTTGAAGACCTCAGATGTTAATTAGAGTCTAACTGGACAGTCCAAATGGACATCTGTCCAAATGGAGACATGTCCATCTGAGCTGCTTGTCCAGACTCTCCTAGTGAGTGGAGAGAGAGAAAACCTGCCAGGGCTTACTTCACCTCATCCTCAAGGTGGCATTTAAGCTACGGGAGATGGCTGTGCCTTTTCTCCCCACTGCTCATGAAGGGAGCTGAGGTGATCAGCTCCAGACGCAGACATCCCATGCTGGGAGAGGTGAGCTCAGGGAATA